GATGAATTCACTGACTCGGAGTACAAGCAGGAAGAAAATATTGTTGTGAAGGATAATGATGAAAACACATATTTCAGGTTGAGTGAAAGTTTTGACATTGGTGCAAGTGGTGAGCAGGAAGGTGTAAGGGATGTGCAAGAAGGGGAGGCAGCTACTGGGGAAGAATCTGGAACAGAATACGAAGACTCCAGTGAGCTTAGAAGCTTACCCAGTGATACCGAGGCTGAGGGATCATCTGCCAGAAGGAAGAATGTGTGCTGGTTTAACCCTGTAACTGATATGGAAGATCCACAGTTCAAGCTAGGTAATGTCCACTGTTTTGTGTAATTCATTTCTGGTTTAATTCATTTGGATGATAATTCATTTCTACCAGGGATGAAATTCGACAACTTCAAGATTCTAAGGAATGCAGTAGTTCAATACTTAGTCAAAAATTCCAGGCAACTGAGATACGTGAAAAATATGAGGACACGGTTGAGAGTTCGGTGTCAAGATAATTGTCCTTGGGTTTTGTATGCGTACCAACAACCCGACAGGAGTCTTAGAATTAACACATTTGTAGATGAGCACACATGTACCATGGTGTGGCAAAATAGAAGGGTTAATTCAGGTTTTCTGGCAAAGAAATACGTGAGAAAATTTAGGTCTGATCCAAACATTCCAACGAGTAGTTTTATGGAGACTGTGAAAGAGGACTGCATGTTTGAGATTTCAAAGCATCAGTTCTACAGGACAAGATCGAAATGTGCAGAAGTTATTAATGAGATTGTAGCTGAGCAGTATAAAATTTTATGGGATTACGGTGAGGAATTGAAGAGAACAAATCCAGGCAGTACAGTCCAAATCGAAGGTTCGGGACATACTTTTAAGAGATTGTACATCTGCATAGGGGCTTGTAAGGAAGGGTTTAAGGCTGGGTGCAGGCCAGTTGTTGGGTTGGATGGATGCTTCCTAAAATCTGCAGAAGGTGGACAGTTGTTGGCAGCTGTTGGCATTGATGATGAGAATTGTATGTTCCCGTTAGCATGGGCAGTTGTGGATGCAGAGAACAAAACAAACTGGCAATGGTTCATAGAATTGTTGGTTGATGACATAGGGATGCACAACCCTCGAGTTTGGACATTCATTTCTGACAAACAAAAGGGTTTGGTGGATTTCATAAGTCAATACTGTGAAGGAGCGGAGCATAGGTGTTGTGCTAGACATCTTTATAGCAATTTCAACTTGGCACACAAAGGTCTGGCACTTAAGAACTTATTTTGGACTACAGCAAGGGCAACAACAGTGTCGGAGTGGAAGAGTGCAATGAATGAGTTAAAAGACATAAGTGAAGAGGCTTACAATTGGTTTCTTGAAAAACCTCCTTCCCAGTGGACCAGATCCCATTTTGAAGAGCATTCAAGATGTGATATTCTTCTTAATAATTTGTGTGAGGCATTCAACTCTTCCATTGTTGTTGCCAGAGACAGGCCCATCATCCCCATGCTAGAGAAAATTCGGCATCAGCAAATGATAAGGATGAATGCAAAAAGGGAAGTGGCAGAGAGGTGGGATCATGCATTCGGGTCAAGAATTGTGAAAATCATTGAGAAGGCTAAGTCTGAGACAAGGTACTTGAAGGCAGACTATGCAGGCAACCAGAAATTTGAGATAAGCAACATAGACGGTTTGAGGTGGAGTGTTGACTTGACAGAACATGCATGTGCTTGCAGAAAATGGCAGCTCGCTGGAATACCATGTCCCCATGCAATATCAGGCATGCTTTCAAGGGATATTGGCATATATGAGTACATCGACCCATGGTATAGCAAGGAGACATACCTGAAATGTTACTCCCCAGTGATCCATCCCATGTCAGGGCCTGAACTATGGTCAGAATTGGGAAAGCATCCTCTCACTCAACCTCAGAAGAGAAAACAGGCTGGCAGACCCAAAAAATTGAGGAAGAGGTCATAGGCAGAGCCACCTACAGGCGTGAAGATGGGAAGGACTGGCATGAAGATGACGTGTAAATGCTGTGGAGGGTCTGGACATAACAAAAGAAGATGTAAGGAGGCACTGCCTGGTGAAGATAGTTCACAGCAACAGTCTCAACCAACCACACAAGAAAATACACATATCAGATCAACAAAGGGGAAGAGAAAAGCACATTCAACGCAAACCTCCAAGTCACAGACAAAGAAGTCCAAGCATAGAGGATCGCAATTTTGAACATCATGTGGTTTCTCTTATATAGTTGCCTTTTTGGGGAAATGCTGTGGTTTTTTGTAAACTGAACTGGAAATATATGCTTCCAATGCTATTTATTTTGTAGATGTAACTGGAATTTTTGATGAAATTGTTCAATGTGATGATAATGTTGATGTCGAATATCTTGCATTATGTTTCTGCTTTTCGCCGTTGGTTTCTGAAATTGTATTCGTAAGATCTGATGTGCAGGCGATTATGAAATATATGAGAATGTTTGATACTTCCTATGAACGTATTATCAAACGTTTGGTACCTTTACTGCAATGTTTTTAAAGATTTGGTACTCTGTCTGAAACCATTAGAAAAGGTTTGGTACTGATTCTACGAATCGTTATAAGGTTTGGTACCTATGGTGCACCTTCTTCAGATAAGTTTGAAGTGTAATCTGCTCTTTTAATTTCGCATTTGACATAGAAGCCAGGAAAATATCGTTAAATTTCAAGTCAAAATGTACAACACAAATTTTCCTTTTCTACATATGCATTTTACAACATCTAGCACATGGCTTCATTTCGAAACCCTAAGCTCAAATTTCTGGAACAAAAAACTAAAATCCTACAATCTAACCCTACATACCTAGGAACAAACCCATTTTGCAAACACTCCACGCACAAAGTCGAAGAGCCAGATCTTCCACACATTTGGTCTTGTTGCTTGAAGGGTGTCGATTTCAGCTTCCATTTCCCTCCTAGCTCTTAATAGGCCAGGAATCAGTTCCTTCGATCTCTCACACATCGGAGGGTCACACCACATAAAGAAGGTGCATCCACCCACATCTTGGCTTCGAGGACAAGTGAGAAATCTTCTTCCCGGGTTCAAGTTCGTCCACGAGGTCTTCACTGCACTGGGGAACCACATCTGCATACATTCCCCTCCATCTTCTTGCTAATTCTTTTTACTACCTGTGAGAGAGAAGATAGGTAATATATAGCGATAAAGAAATGGAGGGAAATAAACAGTGAAGTTTTTAGTTGAGGAGGGAAATGTGTGTAATGACCATGTTGCCCTTCACTTATTTGGGGAAAAATCTTGAAATTATCATTAAAGGGGTCAATTGACAGTTTTGGCGGTCAAACAGACGGAAACCGTCATTTTGGACTGGCCCCACACATTTTTTAAAGGTTTGGTATCTCCGGTGACACAAATTAAAGGTTTGGGCAAAGTCTGCTAATAAACGAAAGATTTGGTACCTCGACTGCAATTTTCCCTATAAAGTATAAGAATAATGCAATCTAGCATTAGTGATATTAGATCATCAGTTTAGGTGACCACAATAGATATGTTCAATTAAATAAATAGGTAATTGGCACAAAACGTCCGTACCTTTTAAGTTTATTGTGAAAAACGTTCCTACCTTTTTTGACATTTTCACTCTTACCTTTCTCATTTCTTTGCTATCAACGTTTTTTTCACCAATTTTAAACGTAAAATGATCGATATACCCTCCTATTTAAATAAAATAAAATAAAGAAAAATAAAGAATAAATTACAATCTTACTTCTAAATATTTTAAAAAGTGTAAATGAGTCCAAATAATTATTAAAAGGTCCAATAACACAAAACGTCTTTATGTTTGGCCTATAATGTGCAAAACTTCCCTACGTTTCAAATTGATGAAAAATGGCGTTTTCTACAATGAAACGTGAAAATAGGGATGAAAACGAAAAAAATTAAAATCTAGGAATGTTTTCTACAAAAAGTGTCAAACGTAGGGATTTTTTTGCTACTAGGCCTTATTAAAATATTTTTAAAAAATAAAAAAAAAACTCTCTCTCTCTCTCTTCTCTTGTTCTCCAAATGAGTCAGCTACCTTAAAAACAAAAAAACTCCAGCAAACTACCACCCAAACTTCTGGATTACCATACCATTGAAAAGTCTTCACTTCTCTCTACACATATCACCCAACATCCAACCTTGAAACATTTATGCCAATAAATTTGTTCGGAATTGCAAGCCTTAATACGCAACTAGCGAATGCACTAACAGCATCACCTGTTCCGAAGAGACTCGTGACATTATCCAACACATCGAATTGACTATACTCACTAGGACGGCTCTCTTCATGATCGTAAAATATCAATAGATGCAGCGATATGGAGGTTCGATAGTTTGGGCGATGGTTGATCGGAGTTTTTTACACTTCTAACGTTATAGTTCCATTTGGAGAAAAAGAGAAGGGAGAGAGTGTGATTTTATTTTTAATATTTTAATAACGACTAATAGCAAAAAACATTTATACGTTTGATACTTCTTGTGGAAAACGTTCATACATTTCAATTTTTTTACGTTTTCACCCTTATTTCCATGTTTCATTGCGAAAAACGTCATTTTCACTAATTTGAAACGTAGGGACATTTTACACTCTATAGGCTAAACGTAAGAACACTTTATGCTATTAGACCTTTCAAAAATTATTTGGACTCACTTATACTTTTTAAAACATTTAATAATAAAATTGTATTTTTTTTATTTTTTGTTTTATTTAAATGGGAGGATATATTGATCATTTTATGTTAAAAATTGGTGAAAAGGACGTTGTGCACAAAGAAATGTGGAAGGCAAGGATGAAAATACCAAAAATGAAAGATAGGGACGTTTTCCACAATAAATTTGAAAGGTGTGGACTTTTCGTGCCAATTACCCTTAAATAAATCATGTAACATCACATTTAAAAGTACCGATCATTTAATGACATCAATGATGCTAAATAGTATTACTTAAAATATAATGCTCTATAGAGATGACTGTCATAAGACAAAACTCATTTCCCCATTCCAGTAATAGTCGCTCTCCCAAGAACACCTATTCGCAAAAGATATGCAAACATGCAGTACCGGTAAAGAGAATCCATTGTCCGGAAAGATTAGAGAAATAACTAAATAAAAAACTAGTATCATCCGTCCTCTTTTCAGTCATGAAAACAATCACTCTAAATTTATGTAATTATACTTGGTTTTACAACCCGAAGAACGGGGAAATTTTTTAGGGCCTCCCACGATCCCGAATTACAGATCATCCTCAAATCTTGCATATTAAACATGGACATTACCAGATATCTGAAGGAGGTACTGCAGGCTTCTCTCGATATCACCCTGACGATGAGAACAAAGATTTCTCTCTCCCGGCTCATAAACTAGTCGATTTTGATGTTTCTATATATCCTCCTTACAAACAGATTAGAACCTAAGTAACCAACAGCACCTGAAATGCATAAAAAAGGGGCTGTAAATATACAGTGGGAGAAATGTAGAGAAGAAGTTTTAATCATATAATACATTATCATGATGTATTAGAAAACAGATAAGCCCATCAGCAGGTGGCAAATTCATATATTCACTTTTAAGAATGGAAGGGAAGGCAACAAAATGATTATCTTTAAATAATTAACTGACTGCCATTTACTTACCGCAAAGAATTCCTAATCCAAGACAAAACATTAGGGTATAACCAAAGTAAAAGCTCATCTGGAAGAATCCCGACATCTTTGTCTTCACATAATAGTAATATATAGAGTACAAGTACACATAGATAGCTGTTGATGCTGCCGAGAAGAAAGAAGTCCACTGCCAATGATAATTCTCGGCATTTAGCAGGAAATAGGTTCCGACTATCGTCACGCAGACCGTAACAATAATAAGAATCACGAAAACCAGAAGCATAAAGCCATATACGTAGTAAACCTGTCCATAAGAAGTGAAGAGATGACAAATTAGCTAAACGGCCAAAATGTAAACTTAACACTCTTTTTGTTGGTTTTCCATGAGATAATATCAGTCCGTTCAGACATATAAAAAATGGGTCTCATGCTTGGATAATAATCGAAAAGGGGGACGAGAGGGGCACAAATAAGTTGGAGAGATGCATATGCCAAACAAAAAATAAGCAAACAAATTTATCTTTAACAGCATAAAAGGGTACTCCAGGGACTCCCCTTCATCTAGAATACAACTCATCGAAGATAAATAGTTTGTTCAAAACCTTCACTGCTCCTTGCCTCCTCATCTCACACTCCCAAGACCAAGGCATTCAATAGAGCAGAAAATGAGAATCAGACTGGTGCATCAGCAGACCAAGCCGCTATTTGGCCCCCATTTTCTAAAACTCAATTTTCCTCAAACGCATTTTCAACCACACATTTCACGGGACACACAACTTTTATCAACTTTCAACCGAACATTTCATCAAGTTTCATCAAAATCTACTAAAAATAATTTTCGGCTAAACCAAATGGGACAAAATTTTGTCAGCAGAAATGTGTAGATAGTCACTAATTGCATATGTCTGTTTTAAGCTTTTAGCAGAATTTGCATACTAAGAATACTCGAGGTTCAACCCACAAACAATCTGCTACACAAAGCCACAGCCACTTACATTTGCTTGAACCTAGCTTTACGGGGAATTTAACCCAATCCCAAAACATATATCTCTAAATAGCCCTAATTCCCTGGCATTAGATTATATCAATCTAGAAATTTATAACATGTCATGTTCGATTTAAAGATAGAAAAATTAACCACTAATATAGTTTTCTTTTAAGTCTGCATCAGATACTTCATATTTCAGATAACAAAAAAAATATAGACACATTAATGATTAAGAAAAAAATTAGCATGATAGGTCAACTATATTACCTTGTAATTCCAGAAGGAAGTGAAAACAAAGTACATTTCAATGAATATGCTGCCAAAGGGAAGCAATCCTCCCATCACAGAAACTACAGATGGTGTCAAGTACCACTTCTTCTCAGGAATTGGTCGTGGAATGGTCTTCACTCGGCATGGATTGTTTGGAGCACCACTCCAGTTTCTTCCAACAACCGTACCAAGAAGTGCCAGGGGGAAAGAAATAAAGGCCCAGATGACGAAGACAATCACCATCGTGCCAAAGGGAATGGCTGCTAGAGACCCATAGAATATTGCAATAGTGTTCAGCACGAAACCAATTCCAAAGCACAGAAAAGGAAAAAATGAAGCTGTGAAAATCATTGATTTGATCCAATTTTTGCCTGTGATATGGACAGAAATGTAATTTAGCATAAATTGCAGAACCAAATTTAAACATGAGTAAGCAAAAGTATAATAATGGGCAAACAAAGCATGCCACAAAGCAGGGAAGGTTGGGTACAAATGGCTGCACTTACCACCATGGCGTGAGTACATTCCACCACTGACATAGCCCGAGATGAATGATGTAAAAGCATAACATATAATGAAAGTAGTGACAATTGCACCTCTCCTGGACAATATATATGTAAAAAACCACAAGTTAGCAATCTGAATCAAATACCTAGAATATAAAGTAAACAGAACAGTGATGTCAAAACAAATCCAACTCTGCTAATAAAAAAATATCCTATAGCCTTGCTGAATGCTACTGGTGAAATGTCAACTAAAAAATATATATTGAATAGAAGTGCATGCATACTCTGAAAAAGGGATTGGGGAAAGGAGGGAGGTAGCGAGTATACTTCAAATAACTACAGAGGACTAAGATGACATAATATAGATCACAAGTAAATTAAAATTAAGTTACATTTGGCATACCCGATGTACAACATTCCGACAATTGCAAATAAGACAACAATGAGTACCAGCAAGGCTAGCTGTGCGCCAGTGCCAACAAGAGCAGAGAGTAAAACTAAACCGCGGGGAGTCCTAAATACATCTCCATGAACAAGTTTCCAACCAGACTCTTCATTGACATCTCTTTCCTAAACACGAAGACGTTATATGCTCTTCAACAATGAATAGAAGAAATTATCGAGATTTATTTGATGATAAGATTATTACCAGTGTTTCCAAATCATCATCCTCACGAGCATACTTTGCATAATCATTTCGCAGAGTTCGCATCAATATCATTGATACCAGACCGGTAAGGAATATAACCATCATGAAGGAATTGAAAATAGAGAACCAGTGTATCTACAAGATCCAGAAAATAAGTCTCAGTCTTGTGCCCAAAATATAGAGCATTTGTAACCGTAAAAGGCACTTGTACTCCTTCCAAAATTGACAAATTTGAGCTCATTTGAGCAAAAGGATATAAATGAGCAGAAAATTAGTCATGGCATATTAACTAAGGTTCTATGAACTGACAAATCTTTTACTAACAAAAAAATTCCCGCCTTAACATTTTCTATTAAGTTGAAGAAACTGGTAGTGAAATCATTATGCTGAAAAAGCATCAACATCTGAATGTCAATTTTTACCTGATGTTCAAAAAATGGGTAGTCCAGGTAAACATCAAAACGACGAGCGAAAGAAGTTTTTGTCGGAATCCATTTCACCGAGTAAGTCATGTCCACTGTTTTTCCAACTTCCAATGGTTTTGCACCCCCTTGAGTAAGATTGACATGAATGATCTACAAGAAAAAGAAATTTATCGACAACAGAACAGAAAGATCTGCACTAAAACATTACATATAAACAGGCACACACTTGATCTTTGTTGTAATTCACAGTTATACTCTTATGTGTGTAGAGCACATGCTTATTATCATTATTCTTGTCAGAGTGCAGCTCACCCACAAAACCTGCAAAAACAATATATGTTAATTAAAAAATTGGGTCGAATGATGAGAAAACTTTTTTGAAACATAGGTGATAAAAGGAAAGGGTGTTCAAGGCATACCCCATAAAGGTAGATCATCTGAATTTATAGACGGCAGACCAGCAAAACATACAAAAAAATAAATAAAAGAAAGTATATGTAAGATTACCAATATAAAATGGAACTCATAAAATATATATTAATACTAATAAGTTCTGAAAGACAATGGAAGGAATTAAAACACATGACTGGCTCCTAGCTTACACGTATGTACATACACATACACAGAGACACACACACATATGAGAGCAACCACTGATGAATGAGTTTATTCTTCTTCTTAAGCTAAATCCAAGTCCTAAAACAGTGAAGAAAGAAAAAAAATTAGACATCAGCTAACCCACCAATGAATCTTAATCATCAATAATCCTAGAGTACACGTATATCATTTATATATTACAAAAAACAAACCTCTACATCATTTTGAGAAATTTCATTTTTCTCCCTAATGATGACTGATGAACTGACGAGAGTCAAGAGATAAAGCCTCCTGACACCACATAATTGGAGCAAAGGCAGTGTAAAAATGTAATACGTAAATCCCAAAATTTTGCACAATCTCATCTAATAATATTCAATATAAGCCATGATGGAAAAAAATAAATTGACCTTAAATAAATCCCAAATCATGCAGTTTCCACTTTTCAGTATATATTAGTTGTCAAAATAAAATTAAAAATGTCCTAGCACAAAACTGGGACTCTCCACATACACAATAAAATTAAAATAAAAAGCTTGACAATTAACTTAAAGTTAAGTTGCCCCCGGAGTTTTAAAAAAGTGACAGCACTAGTGATATACAAAAAAATAGTGCTAGTCATGATATCATGGTTTACAAATCAGTTAGTTGAGGATGGTAGCATGTCTATTAAACAGAACTTTGTTCTATAAAACTAATTTAATGGCATAGTTCGATTGTAATAAAAACAAATTTTATACATTATCATAAGTCGATACAAAAATGAGTAACTTACCAATGAAAAATTCAAACCAATAACTATTCTCAATAGCATCCTTGAATTGTTTGACCTTTGCTTCATCAAGTTCGAGCTCACAAATAGTGGTTTTGTCCACCGGTTCTGCCAAAAGGCAAAGGAAAAATGTCATCATATGACAACATAAAAATGAATATATTCAAGAGAGATCCACGTGTACATACTTCGGAATTTTATGTCAATCAAGCTATCAATGAGCTCATTTCCACCCAATACCTCACCAAGACCACCCCATTTGTGAGCAGCATTACCCGATGGGCGACAAAATGGAAGGCTATAATAATTGTAAGTTTCTTGTGGATTATTGTATGGCCCTACTTTATTCACCCAAAGGGTGACAGGATCATCTGGTTGATACTGCAGGGGAAAGAAAAAAGGCATTGGAGAAAGCAATTGCAGCTCGCAGAGTATACATGAATTTCAATTTGCTCAAGAACACTACAAGAAATCAATGTTTAAAAGCAATCGAAAAACGAGGTGAGGCATAGCCCCGAGGCATTATGTATCAAGACAAACCATTAAAATTATTCAAGCAAACATAAGAATAATAATATAGTCGTAATAAATTATAAATCAGATTGAAAATTTATAATTAATAACTTAACAAAACTAATTATCTAACTTGCAAACAATTATAAAATAGATTGATAAAATACCAAATAATAAGAGCCCATATTATTATTAGAAGGAAAAACAACCTACAATTTTCCAAAATCATTGGTGAAGTCGACGGTCCTAACTCATTACTGAAAACCCAACTTATAGCATGAGATTTGCCTTCATCTTATATGTTGCAAATTTCAATTGCACGCAGCCAATGTGGGAAATGCTAACACTCCCCCTTGGAATCAAGGCTTGAGCCACTAGGCATCTCTACACATGGATAGAGAGATAGACCTAAGCCTGGGCGCGGTTTGCTTTGGATCGGTTTCGACTCCAACCCAAAGCCGAAACCAAAACCAAAACCAAATTAATTGGTTTGGGCAAATTTCAAACCAAGCCAAACCACCCCACTCCAGTTCTTAAACCGAATCGGCGTGGTTAATCGGTTTAGACTTTTAGTTCAAATTAAAAAATTTTAAAAGAAATTGTCCAAGTTTTAGGCGCACTTAAATTACAAGAACTAAAATAATCAAATAATTTTATATTATAAAAACTATTGATTAACAAATAAAATCAAGTTAAGAGAGACAAATCAACAGAAAACTTAAAAATTTTATTTTTTTATGTTTATGTAGTCTGACTGCTTGAACATGGGAAAAAATGCTAAGTATAATATGATAAATTTGTGAAAGAAAATTTTCAGTGCTATTACTTATCGACAACATCATAGATTAGAGGGAATTGAGATACAGTTATAAGATTAGAGTTTATCTTTTTATTTTTATTTTTCTTAAATTAAAAAAAAAAAAGTGAATACATAAGTGAATTGAGTTGGTTCGATTAACCAATGGTTTGAGACTACAAGTCATGACTAAATCGATCCACCATGGTTTTGTTTAAAAGAAAATCAAACCAAACCAATTACATATGTCAAACCAACCTGAGTTGGTTCGATTTGATTGGTTTGGTTTTTGCCCAGCCTAGACTTGACACATCCTTGATATATACTCACTCTAATACCATGATGGAATTCATGAGTCTAAAAAGCAAGCTGTCAACCAACTTACAATGTGAGGTTTGCCCCACCTTATAAATTTCACATCTCCATTGTAATCAGGTGATATGAAACATGCTAACAATCATTACTACTAATAGAATGTCTAACAGAATTGTCAACACATTCGATTTCTCTGCCTTCATATGTCACTATTAGTCTCCAATCATTCTTTGTCATCATCCTCAGCTAACAATGGTGCGTTACTATTTCCTCTCCCATATAAAGGCAGAAAAATTGTAAAATGTTCGAATCTATAAAAAATAGTCCCAAAAAGTTGAAACCAATAATAAAAATCAGAAAAAGGCAAAATATACAAGTGCACAACTCGACTTCCCTTAGGCTTATCTTGAAGGCATATGCCTTGACAAATAGCTTGTAAGAGTTGAGGCGTTCAATTAAAATCTCACTTAAGTTGGAACTCAAGGCCTAAGCCTTTTTAAAACAATGCAAGAAAAAAAGCATTAAACTGCATAGTTTACCGTGTTGAAAAGGAAATATTTGTTAAAAACAAGAGTTTCTCATTTTTTTCCCAAAGTTACAAACGTAAGTTTTCAGAGAGCACTTCTTTCGAAGGGTATGAATATTGCTGAGAAAACAGATGGCAGCCTGTAAGTTTCATTATTCATTTTTAACCTCCTCTTTTGCTGCCTAATAATCAGAGGAATACCAACATAACTTAAAGATGCCTTCAAACGCAAGCCATCAGTTTGTTTAACTAACAAATACGTTCCAAAAAGTTCTGAAATCACAAGAATTAGCGATTCGAGATATATATGCATCCATTCCAGGTGATTAGCTGAACTATGCACATTATGATGCGATAAGAACCTCAAAATTAGAGATATATAACAATCAATTGTAGTCATAATATGACTTCCCGTCAAAAGAACCATATTCACAATAGCAGCAAATAATATCCTTAACAAAAACATTAGTCGCAGCCCTCAGTCACTCAGATGCAAAAGTAAACAGAAAAACCATACAATTTAAAGATCTTTATTAAACAGATCTGATCAATCGGAGCACAAATCAGAACCAGTTTAACCATTTTAAACAAAAGCTTTAGATACTATAAACAGAAGACAGCTAAAATTCGGGTGTTTTCTGATGAAACGGATCGAGCGAGTGAAAGAATTTAGTATACCTTGTGATCGGACTCGGAGGCGAACGCCAGAGAGAGGAGGGAGAAGGAGGCGAGTAAAAGAAAGGAGAGTCGAACGGTGGACCGCATCGGAACGGCAATCGGCGAAGATATCCGAGTCCGATATAGAAAACCGGTCGGGTTGACTGAGAACTAGAGGGCGGTGAACTGCTGGCCGGGATTATAGTTTTAGGTGATTTTTTTATTTAAATTTGGGATAATTGCAGCAGAGGCCCCAAACCTTTGAAACACTGATAGACTTTCCCCAAACCTTTGATTTGTTGCAACTGTCACTCCCAATATCTTCAAACGTTGCAGGTGAGACCCCAATAGATGGAAAATATCCAATTTACCGTTAGTTAAACAAAAAATTGAGTTTGACCAGATTGTTAATATTTTTATAAAGGGCAAACTAGTAACTTTCTATTTATCAAATTAAATAATTGCATTAATTAAATTAAAAAACCCAAAAAAATGGAAAAAGCAAAAACTGTATCTTCTTCTTCTTCCTCCCATCCCTTCCCCAACCTACCCGCCCCACCATTAAAGTAATGCCCATCAATACCAAACGAGATTCTGTGTCCAATATCGGGTGCTTTAATGGTGGATCATGTTATAGTATCCTCCAGCCAGACTTTTGAATGGAATTGTGTTCATGCTTGCATTTCACTCTCCTTTAAATCCAAATTGGCAAATGGTTCCAACCCCGATTTCTCCACCATCATACCCAATCTTGCCCTTAAGTCTACTATCTTCAATTGGTGCCAGTCCCATCTCATCGACAAACCTAAACCCATTGATTTCTACTCAGCCGAAAAACCGTCAGTACATTAATTCACCACAATAGTGCAGAGGTTGGCACTGAGTTGACTCAAACACCAAGACAGTTGTCGGTAACTGCTTTGGAAGAATTCGTGACGCCCAGAAATAGGTTCTCCACTCTCTTGCCGCTGAAAACTCGACCCGCTTGTTATTCATCTCCTCTTCCTCAAATATGGAAAGCTTAAATTCTCACTCACTGGAAGATGAAGAATTCATTGTGAAACTGAGAAGTTGTGAAGTTTCTAAACAAAAAGAGGCTTTAATTTCACCTCACAAATTGATGTTCTGAGGGGAGGATTCCTTAAGGGTCAAGACCACGCAGCCCGTGCACTCTTCAGTTTATCCCTCAATGATGGACACATGACCCGCCGTTAAAGCCTCTTATTCTTCCCAAAAACCACTCACAATATTCTCAGAAGAGCAAGCAATGTGAGTCTTTTCCCTTTTCGTTAGGGTGGGGCTAGGTAGTTTGGGAAAGGGATGGGAGAAGGAAGAAGAAGATACTGGTTTTCCCTTTTCCATTTTTTTGTGTTTTTTAATTTAATTAATGTAATTATTTAATTTAGTAAATAGAAAGTTACTAGTTTGCCCTTTATAAAAATATTAATAATGTGGTCAAACTCAATTGTTTGGTCAACTAACGGTAAATTGGATATTTTTCATCTATTGGGGCCTCATCCGCAACATCTGAAAAGGTTGGGGTGACGATTGCAACAAATCAAAGGTTTAAAAAAGTCTGCTAATGTGTGAAAGGTTTGGGGCCTTTGCAGCAATTATCCCTTTAAATTTGGTTTGCCCATGGAAGACTTTGCATTGAGTCCACTTATATGTGTGCACCAAAAAAATCTTAAAATCAAATAAATCAAATCGAGGCGATCGGATTTAAGTCAATTTGAATTAAAAAATCGATTTGGTTTAGTTAATTTTATTTTAACCATTAAAAAGTTGAATCAGATTGATTGTGGCTGTTCAATTAATTGATCCAACCCATTAATACATTTTTTTTATTTTTTTTTATTTTAAAGATCATATTTTTAAAATTAAAAAATAAAATAATAAAAACATAAATATAATTTTTTCTCAAATAATTTGTTTACCGTTTTCGCTTTTTCTACCAAAACTCCAAGTTCCAAAAGAAAGGAAAAAAAAAATAAGGGGAAGAATTGTTTATTGTAACTCCAAATTTAGATTATAATAAAATTGTTTGTTGGTAACTATTATCAGATGTACGGGATGATTTTGACAAAAAAATCAATCCTTTACC